CATTGATAGGACTGAGCTGAACCACACTATATCACAGCTCATTGCCTGAGAAAAACTAAGAAAAAATAAAGAAAACTCAACAAGGTGCTTGTAAATGGTGTGGGGAGAAAAGTAAAATTCTATTCTCATCAAAGCTAAATAATAATATCACAAACCCTGCAAAAAAGGCAAGTTGAAACTGTGTAATTACAGCTACTTCAAATTCTGTAAAAATTGCCTTTACTTATTAACATTTTGTAACAATATAAAGCTTTTTTAAAATCTACTAGCAGAGAGGATAGGCTACTAGAAATTCCTTGTAAGTCCTTACCTACTGATGATGACAGAAAATTCCTATCCCAGTGGTATTACAACTGCCATAACAAAATAATACATTTTATCTGTGAAATGTAGCCATGACAAATGGAAATATGAGCATGAGAATGTTGCAAAATTGAAAGGTCTGAGAAATGACAATTTTTGTGAAATATTTCTTGGTAGAAGAAAACAAGTATACAAAGATATGGCTTAGGCTATTTTTAGAAAGAAAGGAAACCCAATCTGAAGTTGAAGAATGACTCAAATATTCAAGTTAGTGCTAACAGCCAACCAACAGCAAGAGGATCAAAGTCATACCCTCAACATACCTGAGTGATAAACTTTCCCAAATGTTAACTCAGGGAATTTATATGTTGAAATTGACAATGACGTATCACTTTCTTACTCAAGAATTAACGACACATGGTAGAATTCCCTTGTAACCTAACCTTACAAGGATATCTCATCTCTAATGAATCATTTTACAGATTCTTCCAAAGTAAATACATAAATAAATAAACAAACAGACTCAAAGGGCATTTTAAACCCATGTTCATAATCAGCAAGGTAACACTTTCTGTGAGCTTTTACCCATCTTCATACTCAGCCAGTACACAGTTACTGTGACTAAGACAGAACTTGTACCCATCTTCATGCTCAGCCAGTGCAAAGTTCCTGTGACTGAGAAAGAACTTGTGCCATCTTCATACTCAGCCAGTACAAAGTTCCTGTGACTAAGAGAGACCTTGTACCCATCTTCATGCTCAGCCAGTGCACAGTTCCTGTGGCCAATATAATATTATGCACAGGCGAGTGTTAGCTCACTATGGTCACTAAATGCTCATAAGGTCAGTTTTGTTGCTTTTATCCATCTAATTGGCCATCCCACAGTATATACTGTTTCTTGAAGGACTATTAGGTCAAAAATGACCAAGGTCCACCCAAAGTTGTTGCTCTAGTGGACAGGTGAGCACATAATTTCTTGCAGCCATCTACTCTTTCTTACTTCATGTTTTACCCAACATGGAAGCAAGGATATTATACTGAAAAGAAAATAAACAAATACTTATTAACAACTATCAATATAGGAATAAAAGCTTTGGGTGAGATAGGTTTAAATGAAATGTACACAACATCCTTTATGCCCATATTTGGAGACAACCATTATGAAACATGGTAACTATTTAATTCTAAAAGTTTTCGGAATATACTTGGGAGATGGCAACTTTATTACAAAAGGATTTTTATGTTTTTAAATGTATTTCTGGAAGGAAATGTCCAAAATATATTCTTATTTTGAAACACAATTGGGAAACTTGACCTTTTAATTGCACCAGGCTTACTTAAAATTCTTGCTATATTTCTAATTTTTAATATCTTTATCTATAGTCTTATCTAACATGGTGTTGGCCTTGGGATGTTAATTCAAACTTTTCTCACCTCTTCTTGCTTTCTATTCTCCTGTTGCTGTAAATCTTCCAATGCACTCTGAATTCTCTCCTAAGACAGGAACAGTGATGGATTAAATGGTTATCAAGTCATAATATCAACATCTTGTTGATAAAATTGTATGGCAAAATGCTCCTAAGTATATACCAAATGCCTTCGCCTACACTACAATTCACTAAAGTTAGGCCTAGTATATTTCCACTTTCCAAAATATTTTTTTAATTCAGAACCTAAGCTGCAAACATGCAAATGCACCAAATTATTCAAATCATATCAGTTTACAAAAATATTTAGAATCTTATATAATAGTTCAACATTTCAAACAATAACAAGTTTTCTACATGTTTACCCTAACATCAGCATTGTCTATTTCTTCTAGCTGTTCCTCATAAGATTCCCTCTGCTGTCTAAGTTCTGACAGCTCCATTCCCAAATCTGACAACTTGTTCTCAAGGTCCACTAAAATATGGAAAATTACTTTAAACGCTGCATGAGCTTGTATGAACGAGAGTGTGGGAAAGTGGTATTTTGTATCATTTTAGTATGTAAACACCTTTTCAAGAACATCATTAAAAATTTGGGAATAAATATTGAAGAAAAAATCCAATGACCAAATTCTAAAAATCGTAGCATATTTGTAAGGTCCACATCTCCAACTATTTTTTAAAAGATGTCCACATTTCTACAACTCACTGGTGTCTTCCTGCAGTGTAGAAGTAAGCTGTGACAGGCCGCCCTGCATGGAGTCCTCATCCATACTGTGCATCATACTGGAGGAACGGCCTGACAAGTTAGGCATGAACTGGGAATTGGAGTCCTCATCTACGTCCATTATGTTGACCTCTTTCTCATCTTCTTCTTCATCTGAGCTGCTGACTTCACCAAAGATGTCATGCGTGGCTGAAATATATATGATGTAATGAATAGTATTGTTATAGATCTGTAAAAAATTCTATACAAGCTGTTTATATCTTACATGAATATGATATTCTACTATCAAATTATTTTTAAATTTAACATCTTTAACTTCTTTTATTATGACATATTTGGGTATGTACACCCAGCTGGTTTAAGCACACTAATGGAACAACATTACCCATTTAAGAACAGCAGCAAATAATTGATTTTAACAATTAGGCACTTGACGTTCTAGGCCAAATCTAAGGTACCTTTAGCACATACACTGGTGAAATAACAACAACTTATGTACTACCTAGCTGTAGTTTTCTCTCCTGGGACAAGCCAGCCCCCACACTGCCTCCAGCTCCTTGAGTCTGTCCCGACTCCGTCACCACTTGCTTGTCTTCTTCTTCCTCTTCTGTCACCACCTCCCACTTCACGTCAACAGCCTCATTGTCTGTGCGGAACAAACGCTTCACCTCTTTCTCAATGTCTGGCCATTCTTCTACATTCTTACAGAGCAAATAAACATGTTAGGTCAAAGTGAAAATAATACTTAATGTTATTCTTCAGTGTATATAGTGTATGTTTTTGGTAAGAATGGTGAAAAAAATATGCTATGCTAATTTTAAGTATCTGAAATATATAGTACTTCACAGCAGGCATGCATTCTGACTAAAAACTAATATTCTGTGGTAAAAAAAGCAGGAGATTATATTCTATTTGACAGCGATCATTTTAACTGCACTAAGTATTTTCCTACTTTTCTTTTAAGGATCTTCCTGAATCTTTTCTTCCTAGCATTCTTCAGAGAGGGAGTCACTGGAAAGATGAAAACATTCCACAATGTTGGCATTCTACAGTATCCATTTACGAGTCCTTATCCCTTTTAAAAACAATAAGTGATAATGCAGTTTATGTTTTACAGATATTCTGATAAGCATTTAATGCCATGGCTGATTTGATGTGTATGAGGCACAAGAAAAAAACTTGAAAGATTTTTTAACTGAAAGACATACAGCCATGATTCCACATGTATTTCTTTTCTTCTTTCTTCTTAGAAAGCTCTGGCATCTCAGGCTCAGGCTCATCTTCAGTTGTGGCAATCATTAACTGTACACACAAAAAATAAATAGTAAAACTAAAAGATAATTATCATTTTCCTTGAAATTCACAAACAATTAGTCATGCACTTACAGTATGCTCATATTCCTCATTTTTTCATAATCTTCAATAGGAATACCATGAGTGAATTGTGATTAGAGCATTATGAAAGATTTTACCTTACAATTGTCTGAGTATTAATTAATACCCCTTCAGGCCTGATTTACAAATCAACAAGAGTCACAAATCTTAATCAGTATGTTAAGTATTCGGACTCATCAGCGACTTGTGTTTCATATATGCTGGTGGGATAATCTTACTTTCTCTGGCCAAATTGGTTGTGAAACACTGGATGAGTATAACACAGCTATAATTTTAGTTTAGCAGTCTTCGCTTTAAAAAAAAAGGTCACAATCATATGTAACTTTATCTTCATTCTAACCTGACAGATGTCTGCACACTTATAGAATGTCTTTCTGTCTGTGGTCTTCAGTGTTTCTGTGATGGTTGGGAGATCCACCAACTGAAAAGTATTAGATCTAAACATCAATAATCAAACAAATATTTTTTCAAACATTTTTGTACGGCAGCATTTTGTATCTTTTAATGCAAATCTAAATTGATTTTTTTAAATTCAAAGAGCGTAATATTACAATTACATTTTCTTTTTTGTAGTTTAACTTTTTAAACTTGGACAAGTATGTTGAAATCCTAGCTTTTTTTTGTTCTAAAATCTGCAGATCTAGTATCAATTGTGATGTTCACAATGACAAGAAAAAACTAATATAAGCCTTAAGGGCATGAAAACCACTACAACCTACCAAAGAAAGCATCTGACATAACTGAGAAAGAGATAAAGTCAGTTTACCAAATGAAACTTCATTCTACATTCAGTACCTTTGCATTAAAGACATCTCCACCATATCTGACCTGCCCAAGTCTGGAGTCTGGGTGGAAGTCTATGAACAGCTTGTCCTTCAGAGCCATGGAGCCTGACTGAATGTCTCTTCTAAGTGCCATAGCTGGGCCCTAAGAGTCAAGGTTAAACACAACATAGAGTTTAAGACAGGAATTGTGCTGTTGAAATTGATACTATGATTACGTATCCATAATATAAAAATAAAATGTAGGTAGAAACCGCAATGGTTAAGTTGATCCCCTGAATTTGCACTGCACTTGAAAAACATAAGTCAATGAGGTTGGACTCCCAAGATGGAAATATGTTGAGTGCATTGATAATCTTTACATTTTGTCTTTTTTACACATAGTACACACTTAATATAGTACTATGTGAATAGAGTATAACTCCATGTACATGAATCTCAGTTTTCTTCATACCAAATGTGCCCATGACATAAAGCACAGGTGCTGTCAGGGCTCGACATTAGCGCCTGTCCGCCTGTCCGGGACAGGTAAAAATTCAGTTCGGACAGGTGAAGTTGCAGGGTTGGCTGTCCGACGGACAGGTCATGCTTTATGAGAAATTTGGAGCAAAAATCTTTTAAAAATCATTTTTTGTTGCATACTAACGTCTTTTTGCCTCTTCCTAGAGGACATTGAAAAAGAGTGACCTACTTTTGGCACAAAACACATGCAGTCGCAAAACGAAGTCTGAGCAAACTTACCGCCAAATTATGAAAGTGAACACCCTCCAGAACTTCAGCAGACAAAATTTATTCACATATCAGGTTCACTACTGAACATTTATTTAGTTAAAAATTTACGTGGTTTAGTAATAAAGACACTTCCAAAAACAGAAACTACACAAGTACTGTGCTGGAGCCAGATTGGACTGGATGAACTGGCTATATCTAGTTCGTTGTCACGGCAACAAACTGCCTGTCAATCAAACACGTTGTATGCTATCTGCTCACTATAGAAAGTGAAATCTTTGGGACTGAAGATCTTGTTGAAATGTTGTTTATTTGCCAAAATATTACCTGAAATTATGTATGATGTTTTTTTAATGACTCTANGGCTGTATTTACTTGTGCCCTGAATTTTAAGTGCATCAAATCGGTAAATAAGTAAGCTCAGCTCCTGTGTTCTTTTTCAGGGCACATTTCAGAAGAAGAAATCCAAGATTTGTAGAACTTTACAGACCTGGTCAGATATTATTTCAAATGTGCTGTGTGTAAAAAGAGACAAAATGCTAGAATAATCAACTAACTCGATGTACCTACTCCTTGGGAGTTCTACACCCTTGTAAGTGTTGTCTCTGTGGTGGGTTTCACTCTGAACTTTACTTCAGACTAAAGTAAGACTAAGTGCATGAAACCTAGCTTGCAGTTGCAGTGGCAATGACTCCAATTTGAGCATCAATGAAGATACTTGTAATTATTTGAGAGAAGTGTTTATTCGCCAAAATATTTGCAAGTTTATAATCTTGCTATTGGCGTATATATATAATGAAGGCTGACCTATTCACTAAAATAAAACATTATAAAATATATATTGGGTATTAACTAATGTCCTAACTTGCAAACATCACACATTATCAGAGACAGAGTCACTCTGAGAGTGAAAAGACGCCGGCGATGCAACTTGCAACAAAGCAACATTTAGCAATATTTTGCACGTATATAATGCACAATAAACTACTCACTGGCGGCATTCTTAAAATGAAGTGCTGTTCTAAATCAAACGGAGCATCTTCCTTCTTTTTTGTACTCGTTTTGCCACTCATAATCGCAATTTACTTGTAACATTCAAGTATTCTCCTGAATTGGCTTGCCGGAAGTTTTTGCTGCCACCTGTAGGCACTATTCACAGATGACCTCTTATCTGTCACTGTGTTCTTACGCAAAATACACCTGACTCATTGCCATATTTTCTCACCTGAGAGACATTTGTTTCGTAATCAGATCAACACACTTAAAACGAGATAGCTCAATGGCTGCCTGGAATTTGTATTTAGATATCGAAACGGAAAACCCTCAGTGACTAATTTTTATTACGTGGAGTCACAAGGCAATTTGATCATGGCTGAACATGGTAAGTGTTACAACGTAACTTCATACATCAATAATTTTTTTGTTTTTGTACACCTGTATGTCGTTATGTAAAATGAACATATGCCGCCTGGTTACTAGTTATATAATTTAACTCATTACTTTGGTGAGTGATGACATAGATTGTGTTTTAACTCTGATTTAGTAAAAGTATTTTGTGTCATTGGCAACCAGTTGCACTGTCACTGTCACTCAGTGATAGAGCTACCAAACGCAGCTTGGCAGCCTTACGGCTGACCGATGAATGAAGATATGATAAACATTGCCTTCCAGTATCAGTAAACAAAGATAACAATAATAGGTAACATATTAAGAGTAAGACATATGATCACTGTTCGAAGTTTGTTCCTGATTAGTAAACGGGTTATGTACAGTGAGGGTTAGATAATCCATTTAGACTAGTCTAGTAGATTGAGGCAAGCCGGTTGGGGGTTAGATCAAAGTAGCGTATCATGATGAAGTAGGACTTAGAGATGGATTTATTTCTCTTTGATGCCGTAGATAAATATATTGTCAAAAATGTGGATTAGCTATAGCTTGAGACAGGTAAGTATGTTGGTTATGATTACAAGATATTATTACTCATTCAAATATGGAATGGGTACGGGTGTAACGTGACAGAGGGTCCCCCCCCCATGATAGAGTCTGCTTCCCATTCGTTTATGAAGGTAAGCCTCCGCCTAGATCTTGACCCACTTAAGTCAGGCTGACCCTAACCATTATAACTAAATGGAGGGCGGACTTTCTGTTGCATGGACCCTCTAATCTCGTTACACCGGAAAAATAACCCTTTTGATTGTTTCAAGCTTTTGTAAATTTTGAAATTTATAGAATGTTATATGAATGTGAAAATGTATACAAAATCTAACTTGTTTTGTCTTTTGATATTTTACATACAATAATAAATGCTGAGGCAAATTTTGTACTTTGATGTTTCAGAAGTAAAAGATAACTAGTATAGAACATTTACAGAGTACAAGTAGGTCATTAGACCTACATGGGTCATGGAAAGTTCATATTGCAGTGATTTCAATTTGCTGGCATGCTAGACTAGTAAATGACAGATATTGAAAGTTAACAAGAAAGTTTACTGTATAGTAAGTTATTTTACTGATAGGTTGGGAACATTTCAAGAAGTGACATGTCCTTTAATGGATATTCCTATGTTGAATTAATTTCAAAATATCCAGTTCCCTATTACTCTTTTATTTATAATTTATGGATAAACAGTATAAGAAATATAAACTATTTCTTAAATAAATAAGTTCTAAGAAAGGCTGTTTTATAATTTTATCATTTTCTTAGAAGTGTTTTAAAATAATTTTTGGATTGGTTTTATACGAAATCATGAATCCACAACCACTACTGCTATGGCATTTGCTCTCTTTAAAATCTTGTTTTATTTTTCAGTTGCTAGGATATGGTTGTTATGCATCACATGGAGCCCTTTCATTAATGATAGCTACTGCACATTGGTTATTTTGCATTTTCTCCACATTCAGACTGATTATGTCTAGTATGAGAGAGAGAGTCAAACCTCAAGGGTGTATTCTAATTTCTCATCGTCCTACTTAATGACTACTACTTATTGACAGGCACAATGATTTAACTTATTCAGCCTTTATAAGATTAACAGTAAAACATGCACACGTCCCTTGTCACCTGATAAAACCCAGTGGGACATCATGACAGATTAACTTGAGCCTAAAGCTTTTCTGTAAATGTATTCATCAGATCATTATGGAAGGTGTCGTGGTGCCTAAAGTGTATGAAAGGCTTAATGACTCCAGGTGGTTTTCTACAGGGACTACTAGTGAGCAGCTTATGTTAGAGGAGCATAGATAGTATTAGGGTGCATTCCCATAGATTTTAGATTGATTTATCCCCATGGGGAGTCTCACTAGATTACCGTCAGATAATCTGGCTTAAATGTCCATCCCGCCTACTACTACTGTAAGGGGGTAATTAACTTTCGTGCCCGCCCAGCTGACAGCTATTTAGCATGAACCCCCAGGGAGTTAGGTCGATCTAGTTGGATCGATCTAATCTCTGGGAATGGGGTCTTAGTGATGGAGTTAAAAGCAAGGCCTAGAACCATAGTTGCTGCATGTCAAGAGGCTTTTAAGCAAATATTATTTAATGGTTTGAAGTTTGTCATTGGAGAATTTATATTAGTAAATTTAAGCTATTTCAAGTGCACTTAGATTTGCTGTAATTCCACTCTTTGCATTGTGCTCCATGGATATTTTAATACCTTCCCAAAAGGTAGGGGGTGGGTGTTTAGGTACAATGACATTACTTTTATTTACTCATTTATTTATTTATTTATTTATTTATTTATTTATTTATTTACTTTATAATGTGAACTATCAAAGCAGTTTTGAAACTGCAGTCTTAATCATGAACTGATATTCCACCACTAATAAAATAACGTCTCTTCTGTCAAATGAAGTATCAACACTTGGATACATTTCCTGAAATGTAGAGGCATATGTGCAGTTCACTCATGGACTGTAATGGCTGTGCTGGGTGCCATGCTATCTCAACAATCTTAGTGGAAATAATTTCTTATCATTGGTAGCTTAGACACCCCCTTTCTTATTTATGTAAAGATTTCGAGATTTCTCATATATATATATATATATATATATATATATATATATATATATATATATATATATATATATATATATATAACAGTAGTTTAGCCACTTATATATGAACTACTATTGTAGTGCAGGTGGGAAATCATAATCAAACTGTCAGCAAAAGCATTATGTGACTAAGCCAGGTTTTTACAAGTGGACTGTAAAAGCATCACAGAAGAAGGTGTTAATCGCATCAGGTACTAGTACCTGAAGATGACAAACAAAAAACAATATCTTCATGCATTGAAGGCGATCCAGTCTTGTAATTTAGGCATCCATACTAGTAATTCCTCGGAGACACCATTTCTCTGTATTAGATCAAGCACTGACCTGATGTAATGAAAATAAACTTGCAGGATGAAGTATACATTATGTTAAGGGATATTTTTCAGCCTGTGATCTAAAACTTGTTAGTCGGGTAAAGTCATCAATTACATGACTAGGTATAGAAGTTATATGTATTCAGCAGAGGATGCTTGGTACGTGATGGAGTTTCTTAGTTGATGATTGTGAGAGAAAGAGGGAGTTG